GAGATAAAATTCTATTATAGCAGGCTGAATATAAATACACATTTGATGCAACTGAGTTAGTTAAAACTTGTAAGTTAGATGACTAAAGCAATTGTTTTGGTAAAATTAGTTGATAGTGTAGTTTGTTAATTTATATCTAATAAAGTTTTGGCATAACTGCTGAATTATATAAAAAAAAACACACATATATATATAAAATAATTTTTATACATTTACTGTATATGCAAAATGTTGTGCTAAATATTTTTAATTAGAAGTGAAAATTAAAATTTTGAGCAATTATCAAAAAATAATACATAGAAAAATTTATATAATAATGATTGCTAATCAAATTAATATGCGATAACTATAAAATTGTACTATGTAATGTACTGTATATATTTATTCAATAATTTGATTTACTAACATGGCTCAATCTTTTCTAAAGTCTTAAAGAATTTGATCTTTGCCAAGTTTTGACTTTTCCCAGGGTTTTAACTTTACTAGGGGTTTCATCTGAGTTTTGCTATTTCATTAGTTTTGCTATTTTACCAAAGTTTTGCCAGATTTTATCTTTCGCCGGGTTTAGTTTTGTCCTTCGCCATTTGCCAAAAATAGTTTCACCTGCCAACACTAGTCACAAGGTTATTTCAGGTCATTTATTATCCCTGGGGAGGTAGATCAATATCAGTAACATAATAGCACAATATTAGGATATTCTGATATCTTACTCTTAGCACTCTGGGCTCTGGGTCTAAGAGTAAGATATACCATATTTTCACGAAATAATGCACAGGGGTGAAATTACAAATTTTGGCCTAAATTAAGCTTAATTTGGGCCAAACCTCTAAATAACGCCCCATGCCTGTTATTTCGCGAAAATATGGTATATCAATATTTTGCTATTATGTTATTGATATCAATATGTTGTAGACTAGCAGGTAGATATCAAGAAACCTGTCTCTTGTTATGTATTTAATATTCACTAATTCAACTTGTAAATAATGATTATACGCCTTTTAATACTAAATTCAGACAAAATGACATTTAATTTTAAACAAAATGATATTTAATTCAAACAAAATGTCATTTAATTTCAAATAAAATAATATTTAATTTTATACAAAATAACATTTAATTTTATACAAAATAACATTTAATTTCATACAAAGTGATATTTAAATTTATACAAGTTGATATTTAAATTTATATAAATTTTTTTTTTTTTTTTTCAACTTCGACGATTTTGTCATTAACTCATTTAAGCGAACATTACATATATTTACATATACTTTTAACCTATCTAAGTAGTCGTTAAGACCTCACCCGGCTACCCTATATAGCGCCCAAATGCAACTGTCTGCACCATTTCACATGTGAGATAGACATCCTTGGGTACCTCTATTAAGAAGCACCCTAAGTTCTGATCTAACTCAGAACCTTAATACTTTTACTAATTCATATATACCCTGCTATATATATTACTGTATAACATCTACTAGTTATAATCCACTCCTCAATACTTATCACATTACTTCTAATTCGTTTCTTGTATAACTTCCAAATTGGTGTCTTAGGAGTGGGCGCTCTTCATACTTCCAGTTTGGTGTCCCTTGAGATGTTATTTTAGTTTCTAATCTGTATCTTAAGCCAGGTGCTGCTACCGTCTGAAGACCCATATCTCAAGTCACCTGCTGCCGCCATTAGAAGAGCTGTTCGCATGGTTCCAGGTATTTACGTCGTATACCACCAAATTAGGCTACTGCTCCTTTTATAGTACTCCCTATCGGTATGGTGTTACAGAAGTCTAGATCCTTAAGATGGGAGTTAAGTATCTCATTTAATTACTGTTACAAGCCAGTAACCCGGGACCCACACTTCTGTCATGTTTCATCATGCTTCCATGACTCCCATATAGGTTGTGCAACACATTACTTACTGGCTGACTTTATTTTCGTACTACTGGAGCACTTGTTTCCATGCTTTGGGATTTCTTTAAACTGGTTTTTCTTGTTTTCTTGTGCCAGAGGTGTTCTATATTTGGTAAAGCCATTCTCTTACCACAGCCCTTCACTATGTTCACTGCTTCTCTCACCACTTCTGGATATATTGTATACAGTTGTCCTCCTAATCAAGATCCCAATGCCGCCTTAGGGTTGTTGATGCTACCTTGCCAATTGTGGATTCACACGCACAGCCTTCTGCAGTATTACCTTCTGTGACCCATGTCATACGCAGTGCCTGATCTTCTTCATGGCTCGGGACTCCTTCCAAGAATTCTTTATTGGCCAAATATGTACTTCACATAGTCTTACCACCACAAGGTTTCACATTTAAAAGCCCCCGAAGATTACAGAGATAATTAATTAAATTAATTACCACTAGCTGTAATTGAACCGTCGACCTCATCTGTGGAGGGTTAGGTGCCTAGACTACTAGGCTATGAGACTCTAACCCAATTTATACAAATTGATATTTAAATTTGTATAAAATAACAATTAAAATAAAGTTGATTAAATTGTAATATTTTATGATTTAGTAATTCAATTTTAATGATTTTAGTACCATTTAAATCCTTTTGATGAGGTAATTCAAATGATACTAAAATTATCCAAACTGGATTACTAGTTGACAAGATATCATGATTTAATTTGCCTTATTTTAATTGTTATTTTGTACAAATTTGAATACCAATTTGTATAAATTTGAATATCAACTTGTATGAATTTAAATATCACTTTGTATAAAATTAAATGTTATTTTGTATAAAATTAAATATCATTTTGTATGAAATTAAATGTTATTTTGTATGAAATCAAATATTATTTTGTCTGAAATTAAATGTTATTTTGTTTGAAATTAAATGTCATTTTGTCTGAATTTGGTATTAAAAGGTGTATTGAACTTTAAAGATGCATAAATGATTTTTAGAGTTGCTGCTTGCAAAACATTAGAGAAATTAATAATAATTCTAAAGTTTGATGTAGAGAGTTATTGTGTTCGTTTATTTCTAGAATAAGGGTGTTCTTAAGCAACTCCCTCTGTAATTTGGTAGTGATTAATATGATGCTCAGTTATTATAATTAATCATTGCTTGAGCTCCATTATTATATCTTTAGCAAAAAAGTAGCAAAAAAAAAGGCAACTATCCAACCAACAAATGCAACTCCTTTCAACTAACAAATGAAACTTCGGCAACACTAAGTGCTCAACTTTTCTATTTACAAATTTTACGAATATCTATATGTTGTTTACAGCAATAATATCACAACTTTTTGCTTTTTTAATTGAACAAAACCAATGAAAATAATTTTGCCAAAGATCCATGACTTAAAACACATGCTTGAACAACCTCTTTTTAAAAGATATTTAGCCAGATTTTTTTCAGTGAAGTGGCAACTCACTTAAGGCACCTCAATTAATGAATCAAAGTATGTCGAAAATGAGTATATTACATAAATGAAAAAAAAATTTAAATAGTAAAATGAAGGGTGTTTATCATTTCAGTCAAAAAACTTTTTGCACCAAACCACCTTTTTTTCTGTGCTGACATAAATATTAAAGCGAATCACAAAATATACCTGAAAGCCAGATTGTAGGTTTTCCTTTGATAGCACTCATATTTTTTATTATGGATTTTCATTATCGACATAAAATTTTTGATAAACTATTTAGAATCCTCTCAAGCAATGATTGAGATCTTTATTTTGATCTGTTGTTGCAATTGAGCAAAAAATTAGTATAAAAAATTTAACAAAAATTGTTTTTCTATTTTTTTTAATAAAAAAAAGATTAAGCATCACTACAATTATTAGAAAATCACAAGAAATAGTAATGTTTGAGCATATCTCAATAATATCTTCATTCGTATTATTGACTTTTATCCGAACATAATAATAGCTAATAATACTTGTGCACTATTTCTATCACCATGAAATCGCATCTGATGCTTGAGAACACCCTTGATTATAGTTATTAGATGAAACCTTGAGGTTTCGCGCGAAACCTAGTTTCGTCTTTCGTCAATTAAAAAAGACGAATATACAAATAAATGTTGAAAATTATTGAAGACTGTGTATAAAACAATAAACTAGCAAGAAAAGAAATTTATAAACTTACAAAAAAATTTTATTGTATAATAGGCGTTTCTATATTGTATTATACTAGTACACTTCATGTCAGTTCTAGTGAGAAATCGCTTGGTGCTTACTTTGTGATCTTACTTTGTGATCTTACAAATTTATTTTGTGCCAGTATGTTTTAATTCATTATTTGAGTTATTCCGTGAGTACTATGGCTTTTTGACAAGGTTACTTCAACTGGTCTATAACAACCCTAGCGCTGCCCAGAAAAAATGAACTGATTTATTTTTGCTGGCATACATGTAATTTCGTATACTGATCTCCGACAAATTATGAATGTTAATGAAAATAATATATATATATTTTAGCAGGAGTACTAAGGTTTCGTCTTTCGTCAAAAGAGTTTGGGGTTTCGACATTCGTCAGAGGTTCGTCTTTTGGGGTTTAGGTTTCGTCTTTCGTCATCATGCTTAAAAGGTTTCGTCTAACAGCTATACCCTTTGATCAATTTTTTCGACTTCTGACTTTTAAAACTTTATATCCGTCAATTAATTTAGGTGATTGAGAACACCCAGATTATGTTAAAAAAAAGATATATCGAATAAAAAAAAAAAAGAAATTTAAACAATGTATGTATATAACGAGCAAATGGTAAAAGATGACCAACTTTATTTTCAAATAAATAGTTTCAGAAGCTTAGAATAAAACTTATACGTAGTTCATATCATAAAATTGCACAAAGGTGGCTTAAAGGAAAAAAAAATGATGATCCAATTTTATGTCGGATAAATACTTATTTTTTTGTACAATTAGAAAATATTCTATTGGTTAAATGTTCTTAAATGATAATAATTCTATAATTGTTCACAGAAAAAAGAAAAAAAACACATTATTCTAATAATGTTCATATACCAGAACTTAAACAGGAACCGGAGAATATTATTGTTCATCCACTAATATTTCAATCCGATCAATATCTGTATCCTTACTATGGCTAGCCAAACTAGTACTATCACCTTGATCAACCTTAATAACCCGTGACGGCCTTATATCATCAAGATGAATCGGATAATTAACATTAGAATCTTGGATGAAAATTCCTCTTGGCTTGTTATTGATAATTGGATTTACTGAGCCACCAGAATGCCCACTCACGGATCTAATCGTTGGGATCATTTCAGGAGAACTATGATTTCTGCGATGAGGAGGACGTTGTGATAACGTAATTCCTGAATACGCACTATTTGCACTGCTACCACTGTCAATAATAGGTGTGAATGCTGGACGAACTGCTATAGGCGCACTGATATCAGTGTTTTCAATTGCACGCTTTTTTTTACGCTTTGAACTTTTATGATCATCATGATCAGTGGAAAAGGTTCTTCCAATTTTTTTCTTTAGAGTATCAATGGAAAACATCTTTGGAAACTTTAATTTTGTTTCTGATTTATTATCGTGAGTGTGAATAAAATTTGTGTCAAATGCAGCATAAGAATTTCCAAAACAAGAAATGGTTTGTGATCTTCTGAAAAGCGGAAACTTCAGTATCCTCTTATTAGAATTATCTGTATCATTATCCGCTAAAGTAGAATCACTGTTATTGGAAGAACTTTTTGTTTTTCTTATGAAAATATCAAAATTATTTGTAATACGCTTTTGTTTTTCCAATTGGTGTTCTAATTCAGATATTCTTTCACAGGCCTGTCGATGCTTTTCTTTATAACTTTTATATCTGATATAGTAATTTGGAGGTCTTATTTCGGCTAATCGGTCTTGTATTTCTAATATAGTTTCAAGTATTAAATCATTATGAACTTGTAGGGCTCTTAATCTCTCTACACTGTTGAGGGAACCTGTTTTTTCACGTGATTTGCGTAATCTCGATTGATTTCTCGAGTGTTGTCGTGCAGCCCATTCATTCATGAAATTAGAACCAATTATTGTTGTTGGTAAAGCAATAACCAAGATACCAAGTGCCATGGTTAAACCAGCAATGAGTTTTCCTAGAGGAGTAACAGGAACAATATCACCATAACCGGTTGTAGTAATTGTGACAATTGCCCACCAAAAACTGTGGACAATTGACTGATAAGGGCTACGTTCCCGCTGCCCCTTATCGTTATAACGATACCAAGTTGAATCAAGAGGATCCAATTCACCACGTTCAGCATAGTACATAAATACTGATGATACAATTATAATTATTAACGCGTATATCAAACCAATAAGTAATTGATACGCAGATCGAATAAATACTTGAGAAGAAAACTAAAATTATTGTTGAAAAACATAATAGAATAATACAAATCAATAATATGATAATAGAATAAGAGAAGAAACACAAACATAATATATATATATTTACATTGAAGCCAATACCACTGGTATGCTTGGAAATATGCAACAACTTTACAATTCTAAACAATCGAAGTATTCCGACAAAACGTAAAGCAGGACCCAGTTGACTTGATGGATACTGTAACTTTAACAATTAATAAGTGCAATGTCATGCGGATAGGATTAAATAAAAAGTTAATAAATACTTCGTTACGGGTTGAAAAAATTATTTGTATGTAAATTGCTGTGATTGATATTAGATCAATGACGTTCGAAGGCTCTGGAAAGTAAAACTCAAGTTAGATTCGAATTTATAACAGCTAATTATGAAGCGAATACATACGATAAAGGTATTTTAATTTATTCGACGAAGCATAAAATCGAAAAATATATTCAATTGTAAAGAAAGTTACAAATGTAATGTCCATACAATACCTAGATTATCAAAGAAGTCAATTATCAAAATGACAGATTAAAAATTGATTTATAGAGATACTTACCAAATGTGATCATAGTATGGTTGACCCATTATGCTAGGAATTGAGTCAATGCAAAGAATGGAAATAGAAGCTAAATTAACAGTTAAAGAAAGCCAAGAATACACTTTAGCCCATTTCGAAACCGGAACTTCAAAAAAGTAATATAACTTGTTTTGTAGAGGCGTTCTTTTTGAATCCTCTTGGCGTTTTAGAGCTTCATATGGACCCTAAACAGAAATATATAATTAATAATAAACAGCATCATGTATAGGGTTTATTTGGTATAAACACCTCGTCCTCTTCATTATCATTGTCGTCGTCATATCCATATTGACTAGTATCATACGCTGGAACCGAAGCGGACGTATTATCGTCGTTTAATCTGCTACAAAATAAAGACAAATGTTATAAACAATAAATCATTAAGTTTATTAATACAACAAAATCGATTTATTACTTCGAGCGATGCAATAAATAAGCATCGTCATTTTCTATATTTTCAAATCCAGTGGGAATGTATTCACTGTGTTCGCTAGGAACAGCACCTATCCCACGCGATGAAAGATCAATCTGAATGTTTTGTCTAAGCTTTTCGCTTTCAGTTGGTAGAAAAATTTCATTATTTTTAGTATTAATTAATATATTATTATTGTGTTGTGGGGAATACATAGTTAAAGAGCACGAAGGTCAAAAAAAAAAAGGGACAAATAATTAAGGTTATATATGTATATGCACCAGTTATGCCGATTTCTCGTGACTCCCAAATATGGAAACGAATAAGATCCATATACGAAAAATTTTTATACTTGACAAAAAACTTACTCGGCCTCTCTTTTACACTTGTCAACGTATAAATTCGAACTGTTAATACCACAAATTCATTCGATTCGCGTAGTTAAACGAAAAATAGCATAATGATAATGATAACTGGTTTTTACGCATTCATCGATGATCGATTTGCTAGCGCAGACCAACAAGCCAATTAATAATATATTTAATATATTTAGACAGCGGATAATTGGATAATTTGCACTTATTCGGCATCAGCCACAAGTTGCGGGGGTTTTTTTTTTCGAAAAAAGAGAGGATAAGCTGATATCCACGACAATTGGTAAATCATACATATAAAAATAGAACTCGTCTGCGGCATGTTTCACAACAGTGTACACGTGAAACTATTGATATAATGTTATAATAATTCGCTATTATGGCAACGATTACTCTTATCGTAATAGTGACAGAATATTCTATTACACGATAAAGAAGCTTGCCTTTTTTGCTATGTTATTGATAACGGTAATTACAGGTACCGATACGGGTACATTTAGTATAGTACGAAAACGTAAACTAATATAAAAGCGGACAATTAAAAAAAAATTTCAAATACTTATCGATTATCGATAAGCAAACTCTTGTGCTACGTATTTGCAGATGTTCAAAGGTTCTCCCAGATTTACAGATAATTTTTTTTTTCTACTTTTAACTAATCATGACTTTTCGTCGACAGAACGTAGTCTTAGTCTTTTGGCTTGGACTTTTGGTTGTGTTTGACGTTTTACTGGTTTCGTCTATTCGAGTCACTTTTGACGGTAGCAAGCAGATACACTTTTCAGAGCCTTTGACGGCCTCTCAAAAATCTTTTCATTATGGCAAGAAAAGCCTGGATGAATTAGATAATGAATTTTCTAAAGAGATTTTACCTAGTGTTACGTTGTTCACCGATCACGGAGATATCTTACAGGTTTGATTATGCAAAATCTTTTCATTTTTACGCCCGCTCTTATCCGATTTCGCTAAACGTATAATCACGTGCCTTTCCAGGCCACTGGCATTAGGTGTGAAGTGTGTCATGCTATTGCGCGTCATATTAAAGAATTCTTGATGTTAAATGCTACCCAAGAGATTACAATTCAAGAGGGCATTCTCATTTGTTCATTATTGAGGCTTCAAACTCAACGTGTGGTAAAGCGAATGAAATTTTTATTTCAATTTCACGCTTCTACTATTGGTTTATTATATGGGTTTATGACTGTGCATTTTTTGTTCCGTGAAATATTTGTCAGTGCTCTGAGATCATACCCAAGTTTGCTCCTTGGGTTATAACAGTTCTTGCGCATTCTGTATTTTCTGCGGAAAATTTGTGCACGAAAGCTCGTCTATGCCCAAAATCAGACACACCAGAAAAGCCAGAAATTATTGATCTACCGGCACCAATTACTGAAAATCATCATGTAACAATTTCAGAAGAACAAAGTGACAATGATGATCAAAAAATGTGGGTTGTTCATTTGAGTGATTGGCATTATGATTCAGAATATGCTGAAGGTTATGAAGTGAACTGTGGAGAACCAGTCTGTTGTCGTGCACCAAATGTAAAGAACTATATTCATTTATTTTTTTGATCAGTTATATGATGAACGTTCTTAATTGCATCAAACCTAGGCTTTTGGTGATAAGGCTACCACCCCTGCTGGAAAATGGGGAGATTATAATTGTGGCATGTATTTATTCGAATAAGCCATACATTTCATGTGTTACTTCTTTCTCATCTATATTATTCTCTTAGATGTGCCCAAGAAGTTAATTGAAAGCATGTTAGAATTTTTACCAACTGCTGTACCGAAATTGGATTTCATCATATCTACAGGGTATTATTATGATTACAATTCTTTCAATTTTACCGGTGCATACCGTGAAATAGAGTTCCAATCAGGTTAGCGTTTACTCGGATAATTATCGGATATCCGGATCTGAATTTATTCGGATATCTATTTATTACTATACATTTACTATTGATATCCAGACAATTATCCGAATATCTGTCAGATTATCCGGATATCATTAGTAAACGGTAGTGATGGGCAAATCGCGGATTCCCAAAAATCCCGCGCGGGATGCACCGAATCACGCGCGTGATTCGCGAGATAGATAATCAATCAACCGGGTTTCAATGTTCTCTTATTTTCGGAATATTGCGAAATGACGGTCAAATTTATCGGAATATTTTGGGCCTACTAGTAGCATTCGTATTATACTGCGTATCCTGCGTGGGATCCAAAAATCCTGCGCATCTCGCGCGGGATCACGCGCGTTGCCATCACTAGTAAACGGATATCAGAATAAATCAGATATGGATAAACGGATGACGAAGTTATCTGGATTGGAACTCTACCGTAAAAAAAAAATGTATTAATAAACACTTTTATTTTATTATGGTAAATGTGAATTTCAGTGATCTTCCTCCACATGGTAAATATAAAGATTTTTTAATTTGGAAGTATCTTTATTTTTGGTTAATTATATGTATATATTTATTTTTTATCTTTTTATAGATGTTTGGGCTGAAACTCCATCAACTATAAAGGACAATACAAATCAAACTGCAAATATTTGGCGCAAATTTTTCACTTCTGCGCCATTTTTCCCTGTTATTGGAAATCATGAATCAGCACCCGTCAACTCTTTTCCAACATCTTCTATAAGTGATATTGCATCCATTTCTTGGTTATATAATTCATTATCATCACAGTGGAATGATTGGCTTTCTGCTGATGTTCTTGAATCAATTGAAAAAAATGGATTTTATGCTGCTAAATTGCCTCAACATAACTTACGAGTTTTAGGTATTAATACAAACTATTTCTACAAATTAAACCTTTGGCTTCTTATGAGACCAAAAGAAGAATGGGATCCTGAGTGGATGCTAAAATGGGTTGTTAACCAGCTGGATGAGGCAGAAAAACTTGGTGAAAAAGTCTGGATATTAGGTGTATGCAAACTTTTCTTTATGGTGTATAAATTATATTGTTAAAGTGCTCTATTCCTATTATGGATACATTTATAAATGATTTTTTATTTGTTTATAAATTTAGCATATGTCTGCTTTAGACCAAGATGCTTTTCCATCTATGGGAGTTTATTTTTCACAAATTGTTGCTAGGTATAAAGATACAATTGTCGGTCAATTTTATGGTAGCTATTAAAGTTGTAAACATTTAATTTTTTGCAAGATTTTATATTTGTATTCATATTAAGCAATTAACTACATCATTAGGTCATTCTCATTGGGACGAATTCAATGTTATTTATGATAAGTCGACCAATGATTCTTCGAAAGAACCAGAAGCCGTTGGTATTGCATATATAGCTCCAAGCGTTACATCTTATAAAAACATGAATCCTGCCTTCAGGTGAAACCTTTATCATGATAAACATAGATAGATACATATATATGCATATGTTTAACTAATATTATAACATCATTGGTAATTTAATTAATAATTTATATTGTTTATAGAGTATATGAAATTGATAAGGTGACAAAGAAAATTCTTAATCATTATACTTATTCCATGGATCTTCAAGAAGCAAATCGTCTTGATAAACCAGAATGGAAATTATTGTATAATGCAAAATCATTATACGAACTTGAAAATTTGGAACCAAAGAGTTGGCATGGTATATAATATTAATTGTTACATTTATTAAAATATTAAAATATTTTGTTGATTCTACATTAATTTTGTATGCCTTGAAAAATAGATCTTACTGAAAGATTTGTTACTGATACGGATGCCTATAAAACTTTCAAAAAAACGGCTTCGCGAAATCATTATCTTGATAAATATGGATCATGTTCAGCACTTGATATACAGTGTCGTAATCGTATTATATGTAAACTTCGTGGCACTAACTCTGGTCATGGTCCATTTTCTGATAGTGAAATTTGTAAAAAACATGGATGGCTTCCTCATTTACCTGAAGATTGGTTCTTAAATGCTGCATTGGGAAAGCATGTATATGCTTTTGTTGATATGGATAAAATTGATGAAAATAAAAAGTTCAAATCAAAAGATGATGATGATGATAATGATAATGATGGCATAACCTTTGAGGGACTTTCAAAGACTGTTGTTAGGTTGATCATGAGATTTGTTATGGGAGGAGACGACGCAGTGTGTCGCTAAACTTATCATTATATATTGTACTATTATATGTATTCACTATATGTATCTGTATTTTGTTCATGACATGTAACTGTATGAATTATTCAACTTAAAATAAAGATCTGGTCTTCATTCATAATACACAATTAATTTATTGCATTGATATAACTGCGTATGATATTTAAAAGGATATTCTCAAGAAATTCGATAGATTTTTAATTATTAATTAGTTATTAAAAGATCATTATTTTCTCTTTATTCGTCAGTATCAGAATCTTCTGGTTTTGTGTAATAAGAAGGATATACATAAATAGTATTATCCCAATACCAAAAACCATTTGACAATTGATGAAAGTCGGCTTTAATAAGCATCCCGACCATTGGATAAGGAGCAAGTTCTGGACCAACAGCGATAGTAAATGGTTCTGCGTCAGGAGCTTCAGACTCACGAACTTCAAATTCACGAATATAGTAAGAACGTAACCAAGCATCATCATTTTCATCATCCTCTGTATTATTTGTTGTATCATTTGTTGTTGACTCTGGTAGTTCATTAACTTTAATAATCTCTACAGTTAGCCCTGATTTACGGGCTTCCTTCACTTCCGTTAATTCATTTAGAGTATTATCACCAAAAAATTTTTTCACAATTTGTTCAGCTTCTTCTGGATGAATTCCAAATAATGTAGCCAAGCTTTCTTCGCTAGGGTAAGGATTATCAAACCTTCCATATAACTCACCACCAAATAGCAATGAACATGCTTTATTGAACTTTCCAGAAGCATCCTGTGTCAACAATTTACAATTTAAAAGTTCTACTTTGGCTAATTGAGCAACATTTATTGCCTGTTGCATATCCTCTAAGTATTCAGGACATACTTGTCTTCTGACCAAATAATTCAAGAATGATTCGATAACTATAGGTGCTTCTCGAAATGCATCTTCTTTTACATATCCAGTTTCATTCATAATGTAGCTTGATAAATAGACTTTGACGTTATATGTAAAGTCTACTTCCATATCATTAGGTATCATTGGATCATCCTCTGAAAAACTTAATGTTGTATCTTCAGCGATGCCACCAAAATGAAGATAAGAACTTAAAATTTGGTTTGTTGTACCATCAAACTTTTTAGTAGTTTTATATTTTTGCACTGCACGTTCAACACGATACTTAACTGGTGTTGAACTAAAAAAGTTATGCAATAATTATTTAAAATTATTTATATATTAGAAAATAAAATAAATTATTTAACATACGGATCATAAACTTCGTCGTCATCTGATTCGTTTATAAGTTTTTTTTTTTTTTTTTTCTTTTTCTTCGCAGGTGGCACAACAGTAACGGTCCCTTGTCCTTCAACCGCATTAGTTTGGTCCTCAACAGCTTCTCCGTCAATATCCTCAGTTACGTTTTTATTATTATTTTCATCAATAACTTTTGCATCATTGCTATTTTCACCAATTACTTTAGCTTTATCGCTAGTATCATTTGTTTCTTCATTTTCGTTATTGTCGTTATTGTCGATATTTGGTATTTCCTGAGTTTCCATACCGACTGATAATATAAAATTCCTAAATTATATAATTCATTGTTCAAGCCACTGTCGTGATATCACATGACTCGTTCAATATGCTGAGTACTATATTCGGAAATCTGTGTCGAATGCATATTAGAACTGATTCGAGAGAACAAAAAAAATCACAATTGTTTAAATCTGCACGATATTTTTCCATCATTGTGCAAATTTGGAATAGTCTCGTGAAAACAAAAAGAAAATTTTATATGATTTATTACATTCAGCCCATCTAAGGATCACATAGGTATAGCTCTAATCGTTAATAGGTTTAATACAGTATCAAGTGTCGGTATCGGTATCGGTATGATCGCGTAATTTACTTTTAGGCAAAGTCTCTTTCGGCTTATATAATGTATTTTTTGAATATCAATTTGAACCTATTGTTCGAAAACTAGACTAGGGGTGCTAACGACTCAACTCGACCAAATTTGACTCGTCTTGCGTCAATTCTTAGCCGATCACATGAGCACGCTAGGGATGGTAAATGGTTTAAAACACGATCTTAAATCTGTTAAATGTTTTAACGTAATTATGATCTGATTGCATAATTTAAATGTATAATACTGTAATATTATGATTAAAAAAAAGAAAACGAATAAAAACAATTCATCAAAACAATGTCCCATGACTCCCGTTAAAGAATATGATATAGAATTATGTCATATTATTAATTTATGACACTTAATATGATATTGAAATATGACAAATCAATAATATTTAATTCATATGACATCATCGTCCAACACTGGATAAACACGATCGAAACAAAAATGTAATTATTGCGAAGAACAAATGTAAAACTAATATAGAATGAAAGGTTGAATTGGCCAACAAGTAAATTTCGTGTTTAGCCTTGATAGCGATCAAATATATTGTTCAAAAAAATTTCTCGGCTGAAAATTAAAATTAACTAATCAGAGGCAATATTCTCAGTTTCAGCAAAATTTAGCATCAGACATCGATGTTTCAAAAAAAAGTCTTAAAACGATAAAATAAGTTTAAAAAAACAGTTTAACCCGTTTTTTACCACGCTATTGTCATTTACTTTACGTATTATACTATACCCCGAATTTAGTCAAGATGCAAGCATAATTTATTAACATGCATGGTAACTATTGTTTATTAATCGACTCAAATCAACTGGCTAGATGGTAAAATAGGGAATGAACTAGGAAAACCTGCCTTCGACAGCTAATGCCCGAAGGCAGGTTTTCCTAGTCCATTCCCCAAATGATCATTGACTTAACATCCTAAGTCGTCGACTTGAGTCATTAGCATCCTAAACTAGACTCTTTTTGTGGTCGTAAGTGGGCAGCGAGTAAAGGCACTTTTAGATCGTAGACGGGCCACTCCCATTCAACCTTTCAACTTTCTCTAGGTTGATGTTTTGCTATTCTAGTAGCTGATCATATTACTCATAATACTTGCTGTAATGTTGATCATAAGTAAAATTAAGTTCAATAGAGATGCAATAGGCACCAATAGACATCCATATTGTTACCAAATTTTGGCTCCAAAAGAGGTCAATAGGATATCAACAGTCAACAATTGGTATCCTATTGATGTCTTGTTGATAATGTGATACCGATTGTGGCAGACAACGATTCAATGTATCAAAATTTTCATCAAAAAAAATTAAAAATCAAATCGACTACTAATATCAAACATTTAAATAAAGCAAAGTCTCTAAAGAACTCATGATATAACCATGTGGACTGCGAAGTAATCTGTCACGTAATCATTAGTTAGAAGAATGACTATTTTATTGGAATTTCGTTTAGTTGACTTTTAAGTGTTTCATTAGTGTCGCGGAAATCTCTCTTAGTACCGATTTGTAGAACGCTTGTATATTTGTTGACAAGCAAAAATATGATTATAGTAATTTTACTGAAGATTCGTAGTGCGAAATGCGAATATTAAATTTTTAACTAATGAACACTGAAAAAAATATGGTCTTTGATTTTTTCTTCGATGAACTCGGCTAAACCAATATCCACCAATTAAAAATTGATCTTCGACCTATCAAACTTAGTTGCTTGATATGTATCTCATTCGATGAATTTTAATTAGTGCAATTGATAGACTAACCAATTTGGTATTGAAATTAGCCATCCACCGAGGTGCTTGAGAATCTTAATTTTTATAAGGCTTACTCCGAAGATTCATACCGATTTCTTGGACAGAATTTGATTTACAGAAAGTCAATAATGCTACCGAAAGTACAGCTGAAAATCGAAAGTAGAAAGTATTACCGAAAGCGTTACCGAATGTATTACTTAATTTGTACCGAAATATATTCGGTTTTACATCACTAAAAAGAAATTCCGACAAAAACCATCAAGATCAGATATAACGCAATGAATCAAACCAATCAAAAGAAAAATCAATTTTATCTATGAAACTGCTTTCTCATACTTACAAAGCCTATTCTATTCTAAATAACAAGTTCTAACTATATTTAACAGAAATTTTTTTTGTCAAATTTTTTTAAGTTAGTGACGCTATCCTACCCAATTTATTTACTTAATTTGTGCAGAAATTTATACGTAACAAAGGCTTTTCCAACAAAAAAACTTTCTAAATAAAGTCAAAGTAGTTAGCTTACTACGTAGATCTGAATCAATTATGCAGCAATGAAAAATATAATAACGACAAAATATATCGTGAAACGAAATCACGAGGCATCCGTTTGTCACGAAATCAAGGCCCATATGATAACCCATGAAGTAAATATGAGAAGTATGAGCGACAAGTGAGTGCGCCAGGGCGTACGGTCATATGATAAGACGCCACATTATTGAATCGTCTAGCTCCTGCAACAAAGCACTGGTTATTAAGATATGGATGTGGCGCCTTATCATGTGCTCGTACTTTTGGTGGTCGCAAGTATTGATGTAAGGAATCGAAACCTACCTAGCATTACCATCCAAATCAGTTACAGTACGTAATAGTAATTTGAAAATTAAATAAGTTATTTTATTTGATACTATTCGAATTAAAGATAGAAATTTAAAAGACAAGATTTATATAAATAAAATTTAATATAAATAAAAAATCGACATTAAAAAAAAAAAATAAATTCACTGTTCGAATCATTATAATTTAAACTGTAGTTCATATTTCGCAATTATTTAAATTTATTGCCAATATAAAAGGTATTCTTATTAAGTCCATGTTTTTAGAATGATCCTCCTGCAAAAAATCTTATCAAGTAGGTAAAAGACCTATATAAAATATAATAGATATTTTATTTACGTAAAATAAATAAATCGGCAGATGATTTATAATATACCTTATTAATATTTCTAGATTGATTTGTCAGTTATTTTCATTTTTCAACTTCCAAGAGTTTTTTATAAACTATACTTTGAAACTCCTCCAGCTCTACAATATTTGTGATTCTTGTTAAATTATCTATTGTTTTCTTTTTTTCCTTAATTTGGATGCTCCAAGCATAATGTACATGTTTTTTTATTGTTATTTTCGAAAGTATCAACCACTTTTGCTCTATATGAGTGCCGCCAAGAGAAAACCTGCAAATATTATCTAATAAGATCTGCAGGTTTCTCTTGGCGACACTCATATTATGTCTTGTAAAAATAATAATTAGTCACATTACATTAACTATATCGGTAACGGGTAAATGATTTAAACTCCGTACGTACCGTAAAAGTTCATATACAAAACCCGGGTCTGTTTCATTCCGCCAATTTTTAAACTCTTTATTAGTAGACCCGGAATCTAGTACTCGCCCAGAGGTTACATTATGAAAATAAAAAATTTAAAGTGCATACACATTTTGTAGTTATAATAGGCATTCTAACTATTTGAAAAAAAACCACATTTAATTAATAAAGGTTCTGTGGTTCGCACCCGGGTCTAATTCATGGTGGGTCTACTATTTTGGGGATCTTGTATATGAACTTTTACAGTACGTAACTAATTTGGGTGGTTATTGAGGAATCGGCCTTCAAAATTGCGGGTCATAATAATGCACGATTATTAATGAAGGCGATTCCTTGATGTACGGACAGTGCAAAACATTGATAGATATTTTAATAGTATCACGTAAATATGCCTATTTGAGGATTTTTTATGGTTTTTTTTAATACGTATTGTCGGAAAATTACCTTTTTTATTTAGCGATAAATGTGTAATACTGTAATTTTTTTAGATCATTAATTATTATACTAGTTCGAGAGAAAAGCACATCAAAAGTTGATATTATCCGCAGTAAATTCAGGTTTCATAAAAAAATTCTATTTATCATTATTTTTTTTTTTTACAAATATCGTCGTTTAAGCTTCGAAACTTTTCTTAACTTCTTTACAAAATTTATCATCAATTAAAATATCTAATCCAACTAATGCCATACTCTTTGTAGCCTCTAACGTTTTTTCATGAGCAACTTTAGTTCTTGCCTGTTTAGCAAATTCAATAGTATGATTTCTAACTTTACTAGGAGATTCAAAAATGCTAAAGACTGGATGAATTCCTGGGACTACATATGTTACATTTCCTTGATCGGTAGTACCGAATGAAATAGAAGATTGTTGTTCTTCTGAAGGGAATTTTGTTCCAAATTTTTGGGAATTATGGAATTCATAACGTGTTGCCAATGGAGAATTTATTTTCACATCTATTTAAATCGCAAAAATAGAAATGTTATTTTAATTTTTTTTTTAAAAAAAATAATATAGTTGAAAAAAATTTACCATAGATTTCTTTAAACCATTCAGTTTTAAGTTTTGCGCCTGTGGCTTCAGCTGCTCCCTCAAAGCATTTTTGTACACGTGGACAAAGGGCTTTTAAGTCTTCAATGGTTCTTCCTCGAACAAAAAATTTCCCAGAAGTATATTCCGGTATAACTAAAAGATCAAATCAATAAATATACATTATTAGTCTCAATTATTTGTTCATTTATTCATTCATTCGTTTCAGGTAAATGACAGAAATATGAACCATTGGGTGCAGATCCTCCGTTAGTAATGATTCCATGGACTCTAATAAAAGTTTGTTATTACAAATGAGTGAACATGTTTTTGTCTAAAAAAAAGACAAAAGATGTCCATGCAATGACAAAATCATAGTTAATTTCTTGGTTTTCATAACATAAACGAAATTGTTTCCACAATATTGCTTTTTTAGAAATTCGCCCGTTTCTGATGCTAAGATTTATAAAAATCGAGTCGACTAGGTTATGAAAACCAAAAATTTAATTTTGTATGGTCTAACTACCTGTTTGTAGGTAGATTTTGCTGCCTCAACAACGCGATACTGTTATAAGCCGCTACTATAGCATCTAGAGCATTGACTCCTATATTTCCACATAAGTTTATGTAAATGAAACGTAAAAATCGCATTAACGAGGTAATGTAATATTGATATAATACCTTCCCATGGTGCGCCTATCAATTATTTATATAATAATTAGGTTAAATTAAGATAGGTATTTTTTTTTCATAATTAAAACACACAATGAAAATATACCTGATGCATGTGCAGGCTTTCCGAAATACTCAACTCCAACAGAATTGAGAGCAATGAATCTTCCAAATGCACCATTAAACACGCTACAGAATATTTATAAATAATAAACAAAAAAATAAAATATCTATAAACTTACGGAAAAAAAATAACTTACTTTGGATGAATCATTAAAGAAACATCGACATCTTTATAAGCACCAGATTCGATTAAATGAATTTTACCCCACTCATTTTCTAGAAATGAATGTCAGTTAATAAAAATAATAAGAAATTTAAAATAGGCAATAACTAACCTTCTGCCGGTGTACCAAAAAGTTTCACGGTGCCTTCAATTTCGAATTTCTCAAGTACAGCTTTAAGACCAATAGCAGCACCAACTCCACTTATAGCAATAAGATTATGTCCACACGCATGTCCTATATTCGGTAACGCATCATATCTGAGAAAAATAAAAGGTTAAGTTATTTATTTGTTGTATAAATTATATGCAGATTATGAAATATATAAATTAAGAATTACTTACTCAGAATTAAAGGAAACCACACGACCTTTACCAGCTTTGGACTGAAATTCAGCAACAAAAGCAGTTTCAAGGCCATAAGCACTTGGAGTTACTTTGAATCCCTTCTTTTTCAAATAATTGACTAATAATTCATGAGCAAATCTTTCTTCATTTCCCAATTCTGGATGATCGTGAATCTATTTCGAAAGAATAAATTTGTATGTCTTGAATAATTTGAGTGCAGGTAATTGTTTGAACAAAAATTTATACGTACCTTTAAACTAATTTCCCTGAGTTCTTCAGAAACATCATCTATAGCTTGAAGAACTATTTCTGTAAGGTCATCTACCTGAAATTTTCAGATAAAGAGAAGGTATAAATATTGAGCGCATTATAAAGGATGGATTTAGAGTTTAATGAATTTATGTATAGTTTCTGGAATCGAATTATAAGCAAAATAATCTTACAGAATTTGCTTTATAATCGTAATCTTTACTTATTAGCATTGTAAATTAAAATTGTCGTTAGGCGATTATTATATCTAATGTTAGTTATAAGTTATAAGCTATTATTTCACAAAGGGAAAGCTTTAAACGATGATATATACTATTATATTATATCTTAGTCACTAGTGTTGGCAGGCGAAACTTAGAGGTTTCGCCACAGACGAATGGCAAAACCTAGTTTCGACTTTTGCCAAAAAAT